GCCTGGTGTCAAGAAGGGCAGCAAAGAAGCCACTTCTCTCCAAGAAAAACGTCAAGGACAGACTGAAATTCTGCAGGAAGTACAAGGATTGGACAGCAGAAGACTGGTACAAAATAATTTTCTCTGATGAAGCTCCCTTCCGACTGTTTGGGACATCTGGAAAATCGATAGTTTGGAGAAGAAAACGTGAACGCTACCATGAGTCCTGTGTTGTGCCAATAGTGAAGCATCCTGAGACCATCCATGTGTGGGGTTGCTTTTCAACCAAGGGAGTGGGCTCTCTCATAATTCTGCCCAAAAACACTGCCATGAATAAAGAATGGTATCAAAACGTCCTGCAAGAGCGACTTGTTCCAACGATCCATGAGCAGTTTGGTGATAATCCGTGCATTTTCCGCCGTGATGGAGCACCATGTCACAAAGCAAGAGTGATAAAGAAGTGGATCGAAGATCATTACATTGAAATTTTGGATCCGTGGCCAGACAACTCCCCGGATCTCAATCCCATAGAGAACCTGTGGTCAGTCCTCAAAAGGCGAGTGGACAAGCAGAAGCCCACAAATTGTGATCAACTCCGAGAACTAATATGGCAAGAATGGATCGCCATCAGTCAGGATTTGGCCCAGAAGCTAATATCCAGCATGCCAGAGCGAATTGCAGAGGTTATGAAGAACAAGGGTCAACACTGTAAATATTGACTCATATTTTCTTGCCAATAAAAGCCTTTAAAACTTATGATATGCTTATCATTGTTTTTCAGTATACTATAGAAACATGTGGAAAAATAATCTACAAATACTGAAGTAGCAAACTTTGCAAAATATTTGGCAATTTATGTCACTGCCAAAACTTTTGGCCATGACTGTACACATACATACAAACACACACCGCTTGCATAGCCTATATGAATATTAAATATAAAAAGTTGGAAGTAGCCTATATGTTCTAAAAGTAGAAGGAAAAAAATAATTGTAGGGGACAGAAAGGTAACTTACAAAACTACTAATACCGTATTTGTGTGTGTGTGTGTGTGTGTGTGTGCAGGCATTGTTTTGTGTGGTAATATAAAGAGTGTGTAAGAATTGCTGTTTCTGTGTGTGTGGGGGGGGCATAACTTAACCTTACTTTAACCCTTGTGTTAATTCTCTCTTTATAGTAGACACTGATCTCAAATTGAGCTTAAGAAGTGATAATGCAGTGCAATACAACATAAACTACATACATGCATGACAACGCCTCATTTGGTCGACGCGTCTCTTGTCACTATTTGTCCTGGCCCTTTAAATCTGAAGCCCATTTATGCGTTCGGGGGCGGAGTTTGTGTACTAGTGTCCAATAAGAGAGCGGAATGCTGATGCTGGAGTGGATGCAGGACGTGGGACGCTGATGCTGAATCTGGGGGGACCCGCACAGTGATGGAGCGGCGACAACGCTGAAAAGGTAACGAAACGTGATCTAACGACACACTGGCATCCATTCACCTCAGTTAGGTGGGGTTTATATTAAAGGAGCGAAATTTAGGTCGGATTCATCGATTTGAGCTAATTATATTATTTTTGAATGATGGAAAATGAGCTTAAATCCGCTGTAGTATGAACGAGATGAAGCGTCGCTCGATGCTGTTTCAGTAGCATTTGCTTTAGGATCAATGCATACTCTGGTTCTGGTTCAATATATGAACACGCGTTCATATTAGTGTTAATTTATCTTCATAAACGGTTGATAATTTCTGCATGAACGTTTCTGTGTGTGCGGTCTAAATGAGAATAATTCGTTGTTAATGTTAGAAATGACATTTCTTAAGCTTAATAATATTGAATACACCTATCTTTTTTTATCTCAACTTAGGTGCATTACATTTTCACATGTATATTGCATTTGGTGTTTTTTTTTTTTGTTTTTTTTAATGATTGCTTCTCAATTAGGAAAAACATGGGCATGTATGACCTGTCAGCCTCTAGGAGTGATTTTTGGGGGATGATTGACATTGGTGAAAGCCAATCAGAAAACAGATGTTATCGGCACAGCCAGTGGCTGAAGGATGAGGGAGGGCTTTAACATGGGCTTCTGTCGGATCTTCAGAAGATCAAAGAATTTATTGGCGTTTAAACAGTGTTTCTGGCAGCCCTTGATTACAAGGGACATTATGTGATATTTTATCACAATGTGACCGGCAGACATCTGGAAGCAATGGATTTGTATGATGTGAACTATCAACCTTGCTTCAAAATCATTTTATTTGATATTTTATTAAGATATAACTGAGAAGAGAAACATCACCTTGGTTTATACTTGGAAATTTGGGGGAATTAAAAAATTGGTCTGGAAATGTCATGGGAATTTCTGTAGTGAATATACATTTTTATAGATATGCACAGATCTAAAATATTAATTGACTATTTTTGTGTTTGCACTCTTTAAAAATGTTTTTAAAATAGCCTTATCCAGTATTTAGCAATGACTAGATAAGGATTAATTTGTTAAAAGTTGCGGGAACTGAACGTTTTAAGGTTCATTGAATGAAATTGAGAAACAGTACTTTCAACATTTGTTTTTTCTTTTATTAAATACTGAATGCCAATAAGTGATCTGCTTCGAATTGTGGTGATAGACTTCTGACAAATAAGAGTTTTTACCAGGGTGAGGTCTGTGAAAAATATCCTTGTACAAATGATTAACTTGAGCTGAATCGAATTCTGGGTTTAAACCATGCACTGCATGGCTTGGTTAACTCGCATTCCATGCAACAGATGAATCGCTTGGCCAGTTTCTCTTTTAACAAGTCGTGTTATTGAAGTCTGGGTAATTTGCCCTTTGTGGCTCTATGCACACACTGTTTTCAGCATCAGAGTGGGTGGCAGAGAGAGAGTCAGTGTTTCGCGATATGCACCCTGCCACCTTGATCAAACCATTTATGCTGGAGAGCAGCTGGCTTCTATATATTACTGACCAAAAAAAAAGCTCATTCCGTCATTAATTTCTCATTCAGAAGTTTCTCTGCTGACATTAATTAGCTCAGTCTCTGTTAGTTAGTTCAGTTGAGACCAAAAGCAGCATTGCTTGTTTAATTTATGCTGTTGGCAGATACTTTCATCCAAAATGACTTACAGTGCATTCAAAGTGTACGTCTTATCATGTGTTCCCTGGAAAGCAAACCCATGACCTTGGTGTTGGAACAGGAAATGAAGCCTCAGAAAGTGTAGTTAAATTAGTGGTGTTTCATGAGGAATCATGCCTCATCGCTCATGCCAAGGTTTAGAGGTTTGAACTAACTTCTGGGCATAACTCATCCTTTAGCATTTGTGCTACAGATGTGAGTAATACCTCAAATTGAGCAGCTTATATACGGAGAGGTGTTATTTTACACTGGAATTGACTTAGCCTAGATCAACTCTGTAAAAATGTTTATAATTTTTACAGAGAAAAAAGAAAAACGGTAAAAAATTCTACAGTTGAAACCTGTTTATCGATTTAACTCTAAAGTATCTTATAAGGTTGCATCAGATTAGTGTTTTACAGTAAAACACTGTCAGTTATATGTTTTTTTACAAGTAAAAAAAACATTAAAAACTGATTATATATGATTTACAGTAGTGTTGTCAAAAGTACTGACCGCAATACTTTTCGGTATTGAAATTTAAAAAAATGTCCATTTATACGGAGAGGTGTTATTTTACACTGGAATTGACTTAGCCTAGATCAACTCTGTAAAAATGTTTATAATTTTTACAGAGAAAAAAGAAAAACGGTAAAAAATTCTACAGTTGAAACCTGTTTATCGATTTAACTCTAAAGTATCTTATAAGGTTGCATCAGATTAGTGTTTTACAGTAAAACACTGTCAGTTATATGTTTTTTTACAAGTAAAAAAAACATTAAAAACGGATTATATATGATTTACAGTAGTGTTGTCAAAAGTACTGACCGCAATACTTTTCGGTATTGAAATTTTAAAAAATGTCCATTTCTCACTAGCGTTTGAGCACTGTTGAGCAGATTCTTAAACAGCGCTGATTGGTCATTGTGTTCACGCGCTCAACAGATATGACTGTGATTGTCTACAATGATCATCGCTTCATGCTCTTCACCAAATGCGCACAAAGAAACACACGGGAGCGTTTTAAGCCGCGTCTGTCAGCGGATCTGTCTATGTGCAGATATATTAGGGATCCGCTGAAGGTGATGGATCCGCTGATAGACATGGCTTTCAAACGCTCCGGTGTGTTTTGTGTGCGCGTTTGGTGAAGAGCATGAAGCAGATGAAGCACAGTCATATCTGTTGAGCGCGTGAACACAATAACCAATGGTATCACGGTCGATACTTTTTACAACACTAATTTACAGTAAAAAAAACAACAACAGTAAAACGACATTCCCACATATGATTATATTACATAAAGTATAAATAATTTTGTCACTTCTCCATTTTGTTATTAATAATGTACATTAGGATGTTTTGTGACACATTTGGTGTTATTTAGTTAATGTTTATTGTATTATTTTAGTGTTACGTGTTACCCTGATGGTGTTTTGTCTTTGTATGACCCTACAAACCATCTTTTGGTCATGTGTTATTGACTAGCCACTTGCTAAGAACTCTGATTCAATATGTGGCTTTCTATTTTACCACCGGTATTATCATAGTGGTTATAAGTACATTTTAAGGTAAAAGCAGATTTTGGAAGTTCAAGGAACTTGGTGATTAACAATCCCATAATACCGGAAACATTGCCACTATTTTTTTTACCATGAATTTCTGGCTGCCATTTTTACTGTATATTTAACAGCAGAGTTTTTTTGACTCGTAACAGTAAGCAACCATCCAGAAAACAGTGGGTTTTGCACTGGCAAGCACCAGAAAATGTAAAAATCTTGGCATTCGGGTGCAGCCCTTTCCCTTTTTTTTTCCCTGTTTGTACAGTATGGCATGCTATATATATGGTCTCCGTCCGGAAAGATGAAGGCCGAATGTGTACTCTGCACGGATGACCAGGCCATCTGCAAGACCGGCTTCATTTAATGTCAGCATAAAACAGTGGGTTTTGCACTGGCAAGCACCAGAAAATGTAAAAATCTTGGCATTCGGGTGCAGCCCTTTCCCTTTTTTTTTCCCTGTTTGTCCAGTATGGCATGCTATATATATGGTCTCCGTCCGGAAAGATGAAGGCCGAATGTGTACTCTGGCACGGAAGTGCACAGATGACCAGGCCATCTGCAAGACCGGCTTCATTTAATGTCAGCATAATTGTACATTTCTCACTCTCTCTCGCTCCCTCACATGCCCATGAATGCCCACACATCCTCACTTTTCATACAAGTGAAAACAGGTGCACTGTCCTCCATCATCTCAGTCACTGTTGCCATAGCAACCCCCTCCACAGCATCAGCGTCATCCCTGCGAGCAGCAAGTGGTCCCCACCTCTGAGGAAAAACTGTGGGGCACTTTTCATTTTGACTCATCTTTCTGAAGAATAGACACCGGCATTATCTTGAACCCACCTCAGGCAGAAATTTGAAGGAAGTTACGTTGTCTCTGAAATGAAAAAGAATACAATGTCTCATTATGTCTCGCAACGGAACTTAATACGTCTTTGCATTTTGATTAGCTAGCTCTAGGCTGTTGTAAATGAAAGCGAAGAATTGTTCCAGACGATACACAAAGCCACTTTGTTGCAGCCATTTTGAAGTGTTTGACTGCATTTTGAAGTGTGTGACTTCTCTTCTCTTCTCTAGGATGCAATAAACACCCTTGTCGATCCGTGAAGGGGCTTTTCTTACAGACTGTGTTACAGAACCTCGGGAGATGTATGGCAGTGCACGCGCCGTCAGCCACATCGAGGGCAGCCCTGCTCGCTCTCCACGGCTGCCCCGCTCTCCTCGGTCGGGCCACCGTCGAGCCAACAGTGGCAGTTCGGGCAGCAAGACCTTATCCATGGAGAACATCCAGTCCCTCAATGCTGCCTACGCAACATCTGGCCCAATGTACTTGAGCGACCATGAAGGTGTCGGATCCACGGCTACTTACCCTAAAGGCACCCTGACGCTCGGTCGGGCCACGAGTCGAGCGATGTACGGCGGTCGGGTTACGGCCATGGGCAGCACCCCTAATATCGCAATGGTGGGACTCCCGCACGCCGACCTGCTGTCTTATGGAGATCTGGGCTCACTGTCTATGCTCCACCACCAGGGGACGCCGTCGGCCCTGCTGCGACAGGCGGTTAGGGGCAGTGGAGGTGAACTTTTGGAGCTCCAAGCACAGATGCGGGACATGCAGAGGGAAAATGAGCTACTACGGAGGGAGCTGGACCTGAAGGACAGCAAGCTGGGCTCTTCCACTAATAGCATCAAGAGCTTCTGGAGCCCCGAGCTGAAGAAAGAACGCGTGATGAGGAAAGAGGAGGCAGCTCGCACGTCAATTCTCAAAGAACAGATGCGAGTGACCCACGAGGAGAATCAGGTTAGGATGGTTACCTTACCTTACATGCAGAATGATAAGGAGCTATGCCTGAGTAAAAATAAGGGTTCTTTAGAGATTATTTGCAGTAATTCTTCCAATTAAGGCCCGTTTTCTTGGCTTTTTGAGATGCTGTATGGTTCTTTGGAGAATAAGTTCTTGATGTTACATTATATGTTCTTCAGGGGCCTCATTTATAAAATACTGCGTAGAAAGAATCCTAAATTTGATTTTACGATCATTTCTCAAAGTGCGTACGTGTGATTCATAGAACGAACGTATGCACAGAAAATGTGCGTACACCGCTCTTTTAGATGTGAAATCTATAAATTGCAATGATCTTGAAATTGTGAGCAGCTGAACAGTTTCAGATCTCCGCCTTGTAAACGATGTCTAATTAATGTCATTGACTTATAAAAGAGCACCTGACAATGTCCAAATCTTTTACAAGCAGCAAGAATGGCTTATATTACCAAAACTCGGGCAAACAAAAGTGTGTACGTCTGCTCAGACCCTGACGTGGCGCTAAGCACTTTTCCACGTCAAAGACCGTTTTTATAAATATGAACGTTGGTGTGGATTTTTGCGTACGCACACTCTATGATCAAATCTGTGCGTACGCACATTTTATAAATGAGGCCCCAGATCACTATATTTGTCCTAGATATCAGCCATTCACAGAGGAAAAGCCCTCCTGGGCTTTTTTTTTTTGTAGCACCAGTACACTGATAACCTTCTAAAGAACTATAGAAATTAAAAATGTTCTCTAATAATATCAGATTGTTCTGTAAGACCCTTTGTGGAACCTTTATTTTTATTAAGAGTGAATTTTGCTAAGATGTATAAATAATACATTATGGCATTTATAGATAATTTATTGTCTACTACTCATGGCTTTTGATAAGCTTATGATGTACACTACTGTTCAAAACTGTATCACTGTTTCCAGAAAAATATTAAGCAGCTGTTTTCAAAATTGATAATAAAAAGAAATGTTTCTTTAGCACCAAATCAGCATATTAGAATGTTTTCTGAAAATTTGGCTTTTTTATCACAGAAATAAATTACATTTTAAAATATGTTAAAATAGAAAACTATTTTAAATTAAAAATTTCTGTATTTTTGATCAAGTATTGGTGAGCTTGAAAGACTTATTTAAATGACATAAAAAATTGAGCTGACCCCAGACTTTTGAACAGTAGCGTATGTTATTACATTATTACATTTAATTTTTTTTAAAGATATAGTTCACCCAAAAATGAAAATTCTGTCATTAATTACTCACCCTCATGTCGTTCCAAACCCATAAGACCTTCGTTCATGCACATGCATTTTTGTTTTCTTTGCACACAAAAAGTATTCTTGTAGCTTCATAACATTACGGTTGAACCACTGATGTCACATGGACTACTTCAATGATGTCCTTTCTACCTTTCTGGGCCTTGAACGTGTCAGTTGTGTTGCTGTCTATGGAGGGTCAGAAAGCTCTCGGATTTCATCAAAAAATCTTAATTTGTGTAATGAAGGTCTTACAGGTTTGGAATGACATGAGGGTGAGTAATTTATGACAGATTTAAATTTTTGGGTGAACTATACCTTTAACCCAAAAAATGAAAACTGTCATTGCTTGCTCACCCTCATGTTAGTCAAATCCATAGGATTTTTCTTTCGTCCGTGGAACATAAAAGTTAATGACAAAATATTTGAAAATGTGAATTCTTACAAATTAAGAGTAGCATGAACATTGGTCAAAATTACTCTCAAAATTATTCAAAATTATTCATGTCACACAGAAAGCCATACAGGTTTGAAACGATGAGATGGTGAATAAATGATGACAGAATGTTCATTTTGGGTTAACTTTCTCTTCAAGACTAGTTTATTAGCTGGCGATCAGTAAAAGTTGCCTACTTGTGGTATACGCCTTGTCTATGAATTCTTGTGTTGCCAAGGTTGCTCTTCCTGCCTCTAGTTTTGGTGTCATCTGTGGGCTGTGTTCCTTTCTTCTCCTCTGTTCTGTGTCTCACTCAACTGTGTAATCACGCTCTCACTCTTTTTTTTTTTTTTCACCCACTCTCATGCTCTTTAAGTCTCTTCACAGCTGATTTCTTCTTTGTGTTGTCCTTCTTTTATGTGGCACTTCTGGAAAGAGCTCTTATAATCATTAATATTTCATCATTTAATCGGATGTGGCTTTCTGTCAATGGACACGCCAAAGCCACAGATACTAAAACACATTTTAGACAGTTCTGGCTGAAAATATAACTCATTCAAAGCCATTGCAGAATAGCATATATTTGCATACGTGTGACCGCACATGACATGAATTCTATATTTAAGCTGTCGAGTTGCTATAGAGTGCAATAGTGCCTGCCCACTTTTTCTTGTCTTGGTTCTTTAGATATTCTTTCCGTACATTATTCCCAAAGGGATTTTAAAACAGTCTTCATTACAAAAGTCACAAGCATGAACCAAGCCAACCAGCTACAAGGTTAATTAACAAATTTTAATTTGCAGTTCATTTGAAAATGGAACAAAAAGACAAAGAGTTTGTACTTACCGGCCTTAAATGAGGGAAAGAATTCAGTTCCAAGCATTGCGAATAGCATAATCGAATTAAAAATAATGGATAAATATAAAACTATTTCTTTAAAGAAATAAAGACCTCTCATACTTTGATTAAATACCTACAAAAATGTGTGATGGTTCAAGATCACTCTCATGCATTCAACAGCTGTGGACCGGAGATATTTGTTTTCTCACAGTCTCACCTCGTCCTGTCTATCTGTGTTTTTGAGAGTAGGGCAGTGGCCTAGTTAAATCACACTCCGTCAGCATGCTGCACGAGGCCTGGAGACGAAGAAATGTCAAGGACAAATGCTTGTCTGAGAGACTTTGTTTTCCTTCATCTGCCTCCTTGTCTTCTCTAACACTGTCTCTTTTTCTCTGTCTCTGTCATCCCGCTCTCTTTTTGGCTCCTTTCCTGTCACACAAGCACTCTGTGCTTCTTCCTCTCTCTTCCTCGTCCTATGTCCTCTCCATCCATCTTGTTCTCTGTTACTCTATCCACCCATCCTCTAAGGCACCATATGGCATTTTCACCATACGGATCTTGTATATCGTAAAGACCATATCAAGAGTCTTGCATTTGGCTTAATTGTATTTCACATTGGAATTTAGTGACATTTTATTACTAAGCGCTCATGGCAAATTCACAGTTGAGTTTAGGTTTCAATGCATATTTAAATTAAATCATTGCCATTCATTTCAATACAAACAGTTCTATGAAGGTAATTTAATGCCTAAATGATTTGCATACGCGGGGTAAGACTTGTGTAAGTGTACATAAGACTATAAGCGTAAATTAAATCTTCATGCGCAAGAGAAGCTTTTTAAAGATGTAAATCGCGTTTCAAGCGTAAGAAAAAATGATTTGCAGCATTTATATGTATATCTCTGTCATATGGAAGTGATTCAGTAAAGATCAGAAGCTCCAGAGCAGCTGTGGTGTGTTTGGTACTGGATGGTTACACGCTAACTTCAGCTTGTACTTCATTTCTATGAAGGTAGAAAGACGTCAATAAGATCTAAATACGCAGGGTAAGAGTTGTGGAAGTGTACATAAGACTGTAAGCGTAAATTAAAATTGCACGCGCAACAGAAGCTAGGTGTAAATCGCGTTTCAAGCGTAAGAAACAACTATTTGCAGCAGTTTACTCATACTCGTAAGTGTAATTTATGTATTGTGAAACTGCAGCTTCATGCTAATGCAAAATAAATATGATCTGCATTCTTCCATTTTTCCGCACTTACACTTTTGGCACGTTGTTTTCGCTAAAATAAAACAACAAATCAAAAGCACTGCAAGCCTGTGAACAGTGATTTGCAAGCGAAAACACAGGCTATATATGATATATTAGTTTATTGTAATATTGTAATTTTGATTAAACTTAAAGATGGCCTAGTATCTGCACTAGTTTAATATATGTATAATTTCACTACTGATCAGGGACGATTCCATTTTTTTTAAACTAAAATTTGGTTCAATAATAATTGAACTAACAGTAATAGTATATATATAAGTGACATGACGTGACGTGAAGTATGGTGACCCATACTCAGAATTAGTGCTCTGCATTTATCCCATCCAAAGTGCACACACACAGCAGTG